TTAGAAATTCGGTTAACCAAATTAACCGAACATTCTATTATATGTAATATATAATATGTAAGATATAGTATATAATATGTAACATATAATATATATATATATATATTAATTTATAATATAATATAATTTGATTTCATAATATATATTTTATAATATAATATAGATTATATGTTATAATATATAATAAAATATATATTATTAAAATTCGGTTGAAGACAACTATTCTAGGCTCTGCCCATTAGAGGAAGTGTGGATTCTTTGATGAATTTTGGGAAGTTTCTGGGTATCCCAGGAGATGAAGTTAGGTGGTGCATGAGATGCTCAAGGTGGTGAAGGATCAAGGAGATCAGACTCAGCTGAAGAAGGATCAAATGGGAGAGGTGGAAGATCTAACAACCGAGTATGGTACTACCTCCCAAGATGCAAGAAGGGGAAAATTTTTGGTAGATTTCCATTAGGGGTGCAAGTCAGGCCAGGTTAGGTTGACTTAAGGTCAACCCTAACCCAACCCGAGTTGTTGAACCCCCCAACCCTAAAACTTTGGGTAGTGTTCAGGTTGGGCTCGATTTGGGTTCAGATTTGTCTTGGGTTAACCCAACAAAGGTTTTAAAAATTGGACCGGACACGGAACCATTTTGGCCACCAGTTCCTGGATCAAACGGTCTAACAGTCCGGTTCAAACAGACAACCCATTCTGATTTTAAAAAATAAAAAATGGCCGAAAACTATTCTCTGGGTCAACAGGTTGATGGTTCAACTGCCCGAACAGTTTTAGGGTGAAACGGAACCAGTTGCCTAGACAGTTCCTGGGTCAACTGGTCTGGTCCAGTTTTCAAAACCATGGTCCCAACTTCTCTACTTTTGCCAAATGTACTTATTTCCTAGACTCTAAGGGTTCATGTAAATTCAACACTAACAGTATTATGTGTAAAAGAACATAGTTATCATGTTTTAGAAAAAAAGAAATGCCTTTAAACTTGAAATTTTTGGCATACAATATGCAGAAACGTATTGGGTTAAGGCCCTGTGCGATGGCTGTTTTCTTTTGGCAAGCTGGCCTGGGTTTTGGTGGTGGCCAGCCCAGGCCTTTTTGGGGTTTATATCTGCTGTTTGGGTTTTATGGGTGCTTCTGTTTTTGGTTTGGGTAGGGGATTTGTCCCTTTTGTTTGGTTGTGGCCCTTCGTCTCTTGTTTTGGCTCTCTTGAGTTGTGGCAGTTTGTATCTGAGCCACATCCTTTGTATATTTTTCCTGATTTTTTATTTTCCTTTGAATAATTTACCTTACCCTCTTCAAAAAAAATAACTAGTCCTTTTTTAAGTCCTTAAGGTGCACTTGGACAATACAACAAACATGACCATTTTACTTGCATATACCAACCATTTTACTTGCATGTAAGGTGGAAACCAGACCATTTTACTTTTCACAAACAAACAAGACAAGTTCAAATCTGAAGCAAAAGTAAACCAAAATTTACACAGCCTATTTGCACTCCCATGCCTATTCTAAAACTCCTTTACCTACATTAATCATAAAGATCTAAAACACCAAGAAATTTATGAATGTGTACCCCTTATCCACGCCCAAATCATGGATCATGCTTCAGCACAGCCTATAAGGTGGAAACCAGACCATTTTACTTTTCACAAACAAACAAGACAAGTTAAAATCTGAAGAAAAAGTAAACCAAAATTTACACAGCCTATTTGAACTCCAATGCCTATTCTAAAACTCTACCTACATTAATCATAAAGATCTACAATACCAAGAAATTTTAGATGTGCCAGCATATCAGTGGGCCGAATATGAATATGTGTGCCCCTTATCCACTCCCAAATCATGGATCAAGCTTCAGTACAGACGCCCCTGCTACATGACCAAACTAAACGTTTTTTTTCCTAATATATTTTAGAGCTAGAAAAGAAACACAAAATAAACCTTTCAGTGGCTAATATCACAAGAAAAGGTACGTAGCATCTCCCATCTGGACAGTCTGGACTGTAAAGATGCTGGAGAAGAAGCCTACCTGGACAACTCAGTAATCTTCCACGTTAGTTGGTGACCTTTTTCTATTCAGAAGCATGATGTATTTCATTCAAAAAATAATTAAAATACATCATCCCATGCTATGCATCAAGGCTCAAGATATTCATATGTAAATGATCTGTGCTATCCATGAGAAAATTCAGAATTCAGAAACAGAACCTCCCTAAACTTGATCTGCAAACCATGGAGAAGTTCTCTTGTGGAAGATGTAAAACACCACCATATGCTAAAAACATCCAACAAATGTGCATCAGAGTAAATGAAATCAATAGGCTTGTGAGGCTGTGTTATTGGAGGAAGGAACATATTGGCAACCTTTCATACTCTTCACGGGATATGGATGCCATCTCTTTTCCTGCAGCAATGCTATGTTTAGGTACAGCAGCATCAGATGAAGAACCACTGGAGGTTGCTTCCTCAGTATGTACAGCATGATCAACCCAAGGGAGGGCTCAGCATGCACAGCATGATCACTTACTTCCTAGGACCACTACAAACTTCTCCTGGCTCCATATTACCACCACTACAACCAATATCAACAGTGAGAGGAATATGACCTTTATTACCATGTCAACCCCCACATGGTCCTCATCCTTCTCTTCTAACAATAGCTAGAGCAGATTGATTCACAACAATAAGGACTCTCCATGGAAGGGAGTGAAACATCTGCATGTTCCAATTGTTGTTGCTGCAACTTCAGACCAATAGTAAGAGATTGATAAACTCTCCTGGCATTCATCATCATCAGGTCCCAACTATATGAAATTTGCTACATAAATCCTGTCTCGCCATTCCATTCCGTTCAGGCTTATAAACCTTATTAACATTATCTGTCCAAAAGATTTATGCTGTTTTTAGGGTCCACACTATTCCATAGCCATGTCATAATCTGGGCACTTTCGTGAACCGACTCAGAATATACACTAGAGCCAGGTAATGGTCTAGGATCAAGAAAATATTCAAGTTTTTTAAGAGAAATATGTCTTTTCTCTTAATTGTTAGGAAAACCTCAACTGACTCAACCCATGGGGCTTAATTATCACCATTCAGTTTGATTGAGGTCATCTGAATGGTAAGGAGATCCAGTATAACTAGCAATCTGGGCTTGGATTCTCCACTAGAAGAAGCCATCTTATGCACTATACCAAGTTCTAATGGAATGAACACCACAGAAATGTCACAGGCCAGAAAACCAACCAGTTAACAGATCTCCTACATGCCTACAGCCCTCTTTGAAACATGAAGTAGAGGGACTTGAAACTCCCACACACAAAAGTGACCATCCAAAATGCTGAGATTCATGGCCTTTCTCAGACCTGTTCTCTTATGGGATTGAGATTCAAAGAAATAAAATAGCAATTTGACAATAGTAGAGAGAGAGAGAGAGAGAGAGAACTGCAGCCCATCAGACACTGTGGATAACATTTTTAAAATCGATGCAGGTTGACTGGCATCAAGAACCGCATGCATCTTCCAAAAATGGGGGGCTCATACGGCTTAATATTAAACACTAGGACCATTTAAAGTCCATACCAAATAAACCAACAATCATGAATGCTGTACTACAACTGTGAGTGCAAGATATAGGAGAGGCTGCAAAGGAAGAAAAGGACAACACAAATCATAGTATGCAACAGGAGGAAATAGATCGTAGTGTGTTGTTGAGCAAAGCACCCAGATATGGCAAGAAGTGCTCCATGAAATAAGTCATGAGAAGAGGGCACTCCATGAAACAAGTCAAGTGCAAAACGCCAAACCATAGGTGCAACACACACGACTCATAACAAAGAAAACATCATGTATTAAGCTTTAAGCACCACACTCCCTAGCAGTCCGCCCTCTGCCTTCTCACAAAATAAGCTAGTATAACTACCTAACAAAGACAAGAGATTCTGGAAGATTCTCTCCAATCTAGATCCTGCACACAAGAGGAAACTCTATATAAACAATTCTTTTTTATCAATAATATATAAACAATCCTTGGACCCTCAACAAGGGACTTTTTCACGCCTTCCTCACCTAGTCACCTCCTACCCCTCTTAGACCTATCGCGCCTCAAACTATCATAGTTCCACAAACTAATGTCCCCTACAGATGGAATCTTGTAAATGGCTTAAAATTACCAAAAAAAGGGATTTAATATCTAAGCTGTGACCTATTAACCAAGTCAAATGGTTCAATCAGATAAATCACTAGGTCATTAGTTGAGTCAACAATTTCATGAGCATTCCATTTCAAACAAGAATCAGGAATGCGCTACTAGAAGTTAAACATGGCATTTCCATTTTATCCAATGTGGCTAGTTGGTGAAACAGTCATGGTGGTTTATGAAGATATTTAGAAAAAAATGTGATACAATAGTGTGCAAAGCACCACCTATAATTGTCAGAATTCACTAGCCCGTGTGTAGTAGCCTCACCCAATACAAATGACCCCTAGTTAATCCCTGTTTTCCAAGCAGTAAGCATGTCTGACAGAGACCCACCAATAATAAAATGTATGAACAAATACTTTTCAATAAAACGTAGATTTGTTTCTTGCTTAAGGAAATGGATCAGATCAAATGAGACAACTGTAATGGTTCCATATTTCTAAATACTAAGACAAAAACCATGTTATCAGATGTCTAGCCTAGCATGTCCAAATTCATCATAACAATTAAGGTAAACGTGTACGACAAAAAATTCCATCAAACTATATTATAATATAGAATTTAATTTCCCCGTTTATAACTGTCACAAATTCCATGCATACAACATTATACAGTTGGAAATGGAATGTTTGCCCAGATAGAAATATGGAAATTTAATTCGTCATGATCTGGCATAATTGATATATAAAGGTGCCAAAATCAATTAAATATCAGCAACTGAGAAAATATACCAGTTGCAAAAATAAACAAATTCATTTTTGAAAAAAAAAAGTTTAAAAAAAATAGAGAACATCATGGACAAAATGAGAAAAAAAAAATCCATGCATTAAAGGTGCCAATATTTGCACTTACTAAAACAGCTTGTAAGCATGGGAATTCATAAGCCTCGAAATACACCTTCAACCTTCCTAGAAATTCAGTATTTGAGGAATACCTATTTCCAGCACAATGGCTGAATATACAAGATCGAAATGAAATATCAAGGAAACTGGTCGAGAGGCAGAAATACGAAGCATACAACCTATTTATTGATTCACCAAGCCAACTGCAGTTCAATAGTTGTAGGCCGCTAGCTCCAATCCACCTTGAAATTGGCAGGCATAGCGGATAAGGACATTGAAGATGCTCAAGCAAAACCTATTAGTCCCCTCTTCAAGCCGATAAGCCAACAAGCCACTTGCATGTCCTGTCATCGTTTTCAGACTTGAAACCTGTTCTGCTTTTCTTCCAGTTCCAAGGACATAGGCGAAGGTGGCTAGGCCCCATCAGTTTCATCACTACAATAAGTGTTGCTTACAATCTTTCTCTCCTCCATGTCATAGCTAGGCAACTTCCGACAATCAGAAGCCATCTCTGATTTCTCTTCTTTGTTAAATTCCACTGCTTCTTTCTTGTGAGCGATGTCCCAGAAGAAATCAGTCAAAACAGCCTCATAACACGGCATTTTTGCATAACCTGGGAAGTAATTGATATCAATTACGAGGTAATGGTTCCCCACTCTTGCATCCCTGATGACATCGAAGTTGAAAAGATGCAATCGCATGGCCCGTTGCAATCCTCTTGCAATGTCTGTAATGAAACTCAGTGGGGGCATCTCAGCATTTTCCAAATGCATATTCTCATAATAGTGATCGTTATTTCGATATTGTGTGGTCAAGTTCGATACCTGCGAGAAAGATAATGAATCCTCCAAACTCCCCAGATTCTCCTCCGATACATCAGGAAGCGACTTTCTCTTCACGCATTTCACATAGTCCCCGACAACATAGACCTTAAAGATCACCCCACCATGATTAACAAACTCTTGCAGGACAATAGGTGGTTTCAGCTTGCTGAAACCATCACGATTGAACACAAGCGACATCTTGTGTGACTTCTCACTTCCATCAGCCACCAACGGCTTGGCAATCACCGGAAACCTCAACCCTTCCAGCGCATCTGCATCCAGTAACGTTTCCGAATTATAGATCAAAATCTGTTTAGGTATTCCAAAAGTCTCATTCTCCTGGGGGATTTTCAATTCGGACACCACCTGGAGCATGGAAATCCTATTATGAAGCCTCTCAATCGCATCCAGCGGATCAATTATACAGACATTAGGGTTCTTCGAGGAGAAATCCTCGAGCTGTTTCTTCCATTCTTCGCCAGACAATTTGTGAAGGATGCAATCGAATGGGCCCTGATCCACCAAGGGCTTATCAGTATCGATTCGTATGAGATCGACACTTCTCTCTTTTGCAAGATTCACCAAAGAATCCTGGATGAAGCTCTGTTGTTTCTTCGGCGCTAACGCGTATCCTATTCGATATCTTCTCGATGAATCCGACATCCTTCTTCCTCGAAACCTTCGATCTGTAATGGCCTAGATGGAAGAAATGCATGAACATTCATACCAGAAATCGAGAAATAGAAACCAGATTCAAAATCTGGAGAAGAGAAACCTCGGGGCTCGGGGCTAGCTCGGACGAGAGAGAAATTAGGGCTTTTTTTTCTTGTTGAAATGAAAAACAGAAATTCGAGAGAAACGAAGAGAAGAGAAGGTATTATATAACTTCGAGTAGGGCTCGAACCCGAGGATTCGAAAATGGAAACTAACCATGGTTAGATTATTAAGTAGGGTTAGAGACCGTACGTAAGTGAAAAGTCTCCGATGTCCACGTGGCATATTCTCGAGATCTTATGCGGATTCCGGCCGCACTACTGAAGCAGTGAATGGACGGTAAGAACTGTACGCGCTCAATGAACGGTAAAGATTAATTTCTATTTGAAAAAAAAGCCGTTAATCAATGGCCCAGTGGAAATTGACTCCAGTAAACCTACTTGTGTTTTGTGGTTATTTTCATCGTGGAAAAAGCCGTTAATCAATGCCAGTTGCCTCTCCTCTGCGTATGCATCATTACATATGTTATTGGCTTCCCACCAGCTCCGAGACGGGATCTGCTCCTCACAAATGGGCGCCTGATAATTACGATAGATGTTCTCAATGCATGGCGCCAGTTGTAAAGAGCAGATCCGGTCTCACCAGCTCCCACCTTGGACTTGGGAGAGCATTTGGTGATCGGACATATGGACCTCAATTGGATTGACACGTGGGTGGATGATACTTGTCACACAAACCACGCCTGATTGCCTGGTGGAGATTACACGTGCAACTTTTATAAGTTCACACGTGCACCTACACTAATCCACAATTTTAGAGCAGAGCCCAATAAGTAGGACCTTTGTTTAGTTGAAAACCGTGGTCAAAGTGATGATGATGATGATGTTTGATCTCGCAAATGTCAATGATTTAAGTTGATTCCATGTATATAGAGAATCTTAAAAGTGTGATGATGAAAATAGCATATATAGTAGATGATTGAACAACTTTTCAATCCCATTTCTTCAAATGCTACATTCCTTGTGGAATTATGGGCTCTTAATCATTTTTCATTGCTTCAATCAATGTTATTTCTTAGTTTACAATTTTAGACATCTTACATCAAATTATGACAGGCAAACAAAACAGCGAGAAGGTGGAACATCCCCCCCTAAAAAAAAGTCAATTTGATTCTTTCTATTTCCAAACTTTTAATAAATAATTTGTGAAAAGTCTTAAGGGGGGGCATTCTCCAATATGAAATGTTGTTTTTCTTGTTGGCAATCTCAGAGACAAAAAATGATAAATAAATTAATTTTCAAAATAAAAACAAAAAAAAAGATGTTCTTGGTTGTATATGTGTTTTTTGTTTTCAAAATTGAAACCAAAACCATGTTTTAGAAAACATAGTTGATGGTTCCAAAAAACATTACTAGCTTGTTTTTAGAAACAAAACCATCATGTTGTCACTTCTCAAACAAAACCAATTCTTTTTCTGATTTGACATTAATTATGAAAACAAAATCATAGACATTGCCAAACACCCTCAACCAATAAAACAACAATATTATGATGTATTTTAAAAGCCTAATAAAATAACTAAAATAGAAGGGTTATTTTGGTTAGTCAATAATAAAAGCTTGGAAGAAAATGGTCCAAGAAAAAAAAGGAGAGAAGCAGCTCCATATGGTTTTGGAAAATCAGGGGGTGTTCTACAACATGAATGTTTTTATTTCATTTGTTTTTGAAAATATTGTCACATCAGTAGAAAAATAAATAATATATTATTAAACCATGTTTTTGTTGCACATAACCAAGTTGTTTTATTTCAAAAAACAATTCATGTACTTCAACCCATCAAGGGGTGTCTACCAATATGAATAGTTTTGTTTTCTAAAATAAAAAATAACCGTCACATTAGCCTTTTTTTTTTTTTTTGCTTTATAAAACAAACCATTAAAACTGGTAAAGTCCCCTCAAAATGATATCTTTTTAAACAGTTTTTAGATTACATGATTTATGGAATACATTATTAAATCATCAGATGAAAACATGTTTCTAAACCAGAAATTCAAAAATACATTTCTGGTTTCAATTCTGGAAACCAAAAACACATATACAACCAATAACATGTTTTTCACGTCATTGTTTTAAGAGACAATTTGTTTTCAAACATGATGGTTTTGTATGGCATCATGTCAGCTGTTTATACATTTGAATACTAGCTGGTAAGTCTTAATATCACCAATTAACACCAAGATTATCTACTTCCTATTTGACCTCATATCCAAGTCCTTTACTTTTATTGCTCCAATATATACTTCTTATGCATTATTTGAATGCATTGCTATTGTTTTTATTTTTTCTATAACAAATGGGTAAAAGAATTGGGTTTGATTCTTTTAGATTAAAAAAAATAAATTTCCTATTAGATGGTGTTGAGATGGTGGTTCTATTTATTTTAAAAGCAAGGAATTTGAGCTAAAAGCATAAATGGAAGAACAAGGCCTTGAAAGAACATTTTATTAATTTGCCTTGTAAATGAAACATATTTAATAAAGCAGATAAATTGTTGAAACCTACCCTGAAGTTTCTAACTGTTGCTGAAACCTCCCCCTAAAGTTTAATAATTGCAATCACCTCCACTGAAATTTCTAATACAGTTGCAAGTAGACCCCCTCTAGTAGAATCTTCTAAAAGAGGCATGAAATGTCCAAAGTACCCATGAAGTTACTATTGAGGCTGGTTTTTATGGAAAAAAAAACAATACACAATTTATGAACAACAAAAACAAAGAGAATTTAGAATTACAAATTTACTTTTGAGTGATTTATATGAAGGTAAAATTTGGAAAATAAATCAATTTCGGAAAAGAGATTGGAAGGATTTGGGGTAGTGATTCGTATGAAGAGAAAATTTGAAAAACAAATGTTTTTGTTAAAAGTAATTGCATGGGTATTTTGGACATTTTCATGCCCTTTTTTAGAAAATTCTACCAAAGAGTATCTACTTGCAATTATATCAAAAAGTTAAAAAGAGGTGATTGTAATCACCAAACTTCAGAAAAAGTTTCAACAATATGGGCAAAAAGATAGATATTTAGATTATGAGAGATTATCTTGATGTACTCCCATTGTATTGGGTTGGGATCATATGTACTCCCACTATATTGTATGTACTCCCATTCCGGAGGTGACACTTGTACCACCATAAATGATCCATTTTCTCCCTAGTGAAGCATATGGAGATGGATGGACATCTCTATTCCCTTTTCATTAGTTAACAATAATAAAAAAATCAAAATAACAATTTCAAAACTAAGGTCTCTCTTTAGATCTCTCTCCCCCGCATGCTAGCTGTAGAAAATCTTCTTCCATATACTCTCTCTACTTATGTCTTTCATGGCATTTGCATGCCCAAGGTTCAAAGTATTGACATGCCCCTGTGTATCAGTAGATGCATATTGGTACTTAAAACTACGTGCCTTTGTGTGTTTTTTTAGTTTTTATTTCAAATTTTGGTTTTTAGACTTGTTTTTAAAAATATTTTTATTAAAAACAACAGGGTTCCCGAACACCTGTAAAAAGGTGTATCAGGACCCCAATTTTTGAACCTAGGGCATGCCCTTATTCCCTCATGCGTGCTCAACAATTTCAAGGTCCCTTTGCAATTCGAATTGGAATCAGAATTAGAATAATTTATTCTCATGGTCTGTCTGGTTCAAATAGAAATCATAACCAAAATTGGAATAAGATGGAATGGGATTTCATTCCCAAGAGAGGAGGAGGGAAATGGCCATTCACTCAAATGGAGGAATGCCATTTCAGCAAGAATGTGAATGAAATTTCAATTCCACCCAACCAAATAGTTGGATTCCAAATTCCTACTCCTGCAAACCAAGCATGTCCTCAAATCTTCAATGCGCCAAGTTATTATTTAGAACACACATAATTTGAAAGAAATCCCGAGATCATATAAGAAAATCGATGGCATTTACTAGAACTGCCACAAACCCTCCAATGGCAATCTAACGATGGTTTTGATCAATGTCCCATACAGATTAAAGGGTTTCTTCATAAGAAATTTGGCTACCTCCCCTTTGAGAAAATAGTATCCACTTTTAAAGCAATCTTATTAGTTATTAGACATATGGGTACCTCCACTCTCCCAAAAAAAAATAAAAAGTAAGGATAGTTATCTCCACTCTCAATAATTAAGTACTCACTTGTGGGACCCATGTTTTAAGTGATGTGGAGTCCCATTATTTTAGAAGAGTGTGAATGATTTTGTATTTTACTTAATCTAATTCCAGGTAGGGCCAGTTACCAAAAAACGGGTGGAGTCACACCAATGCATCAAATTTGAATAAATAGAAGTTTAATCACTCTATATTCAAGCATGGACTTATCATTTTGGCATACTTACCCTATTGGGATTCCCAATGTAAAGAACTTTGTTAATATTTTGGTGGATAAATAGATATATTTATGTATATAATAAAGTAGAAACATGCCATGTCAAATGGCATTCCAAGAACTCTGGGCCCCTCTTCATTTTATTCTTTTTGGTCTCTTATGAAGCCATCTCATCACTCCCTTCTCTCTTTCTCATTTTGACATCTCAGCATGCCTAACCCATCCCTCTTTCCTTTATATTTATTTCTTTGGATATTCCTTCCTAAAATCTCTATCTACCAAAATCTAATTTAATCTACCCAAGTGGCACCACTATCACCCACTTTCTCCAAAATTATCTATAATTCCTATTTATCTCCTAAATAATATGTAATTCCTAATTATCTCAAATCAAGTAGAGAATTTCTCTCCTAAATTATCTCTAATTCCTATTTATCTTATCCCCCACTTTTCATCTATATCAATTAAAAGAAAGTTTGAATTAAGAAAAAATAAAAATATTTAAATATTATAATAAAATTATATAAAAACTTTAAAATATTTAATAAAATCATAAAAAATAATTAAAATAGATTTAATAATATTTATATAAATAATAATTTTATATTTTTACAAAATTCATCACAAAATTATGTACTAGCAATATAAATTATGATTTTCCTAAGTATTAAATTTAAATGTTATTCAAATAATAAAAATTTAACATTAAAAGTAAAATATTATTTAAATAATTGAAT